CTGAATGTGGAACCACAAGCCCCCGCTCTCTTTCCCCCTTGTGTGATCTGCCTCTCAGGTTCAGAAAAAAAACCCAACAACAATATTCTGTCTGCAATCAAAAAGAGTTACGCAAGAACAAGAAACATCAAGTGTAGTTTCTAGGTCAGTTATAGGCTTCCTCTGACGTACAGAACTCTGTGGGAAGCCAGGGAGGGCACCTGGCACAAAGGAAAGCCTCACAGGACAGTATGAGAGACACCTGGAGGCAGCTTACCTGTAGAATAAGCCTCAGGGGAAAGTGCCCTGCGGGGCCTCCCTGTGCTCCAGTTAGAGAAAATCAACATGTGGATGGAACTGTGGGCTTCATTGTTACCGCTAGGTCTTGTTTTTATATAAAAGGTCTGCCATTTCTAGGGATTGTGTGACACTGTGTGAAAAAAGAGCGACCCCCCCCCACCTGCAAGGCTCCCCATCTGTGGCTGTCAAACACAATAGGAAGTGGGGGGGGACACGAGGAAGCTGCCCTCCCACTTCTGTGGCTTCCCTCCTGCAGAGTTTGCCTTGCCTGCTGCTGCTAGTAATGGCCCCCCAAGAGACAGCCATCCCAAGAGGAACAGGCCGGGTTTCACGAGGAAGGTTCCTCGTTGCCAGCTTGCTCCCAGCCTTCGCTGTGGCTGCCTTCTTGGTCTTAAGTGGGGTGGGGTGGGGTGTAGGCTGCCCCAGATCCCCTCTCCGGTTCAAGCGTGGGGCACACGGAGAGAGGTAGAGAGAGGTAGAGAGGACGGCACTCAAGTTGGGATGGGTTCAGCCCAACCTTTTTCCTACAATTTTATTTTATTTTATTGTCCTGTGTAAAGTCCAACAGCTGAGAACTCAGCAGAGCCTTTCCCTGTGAGAACAAATACAAGTTGCTTCACCTCTAGTTGCTGTAATTGTTTATTGTGTGTATATATATATATATATATATCTCCCAATGGAGCTCCTGCTAATGGCTGCTCTTTCCTCCATTCCCCCCCACAGAGATTTCCAGGAGCTGAGTCCCATGTGTGCCCCTCGTGAGCTGTAAGTCTTTGACACTCCTTGAAGATTAAGAGAAGGGCTGGCAGGGGGGTGGGGGGTGGCGGCAGGGGGTGCATTAGGGTTCAGGGCTGATGGTTCTTCCCCCTCCTTCCCCACCCAAGGACCCTCCCCCACCCTGTGGCGGCCCAGGGCCCAGAGCCCCAGCCAGGTGTGTGCGGAGACGCCCTCGCAGCAAGGGCTGGGTGCAATTCGGGGAGGCTTCTGCCCAGCAGGCAGGGGCGCTTTGCTCCCTGGCTGACCTCTGGCTGGACGAGAACCGCCAGCCGTTCAGCCCTCACAGCCAACTGCTAAGTGTCGTCCAGGCCCAGCACATCGTTCTCAGGACCTTGCCAACCTCCAGGCCCACTCCTGGCTGTCGTCCTTCGAGCCACTCCGTTTGGGTAGGGAAAGTCATTCCTGCTGCTCTCCTTAAGTGCTGCGAATCACCCCAAAATCTTCCAGATCCCCAAGGCGGCCGTCCAGCATTCTTCTGCTCCTCTGGAGCTGAAGTGGGAGCAGTTGCCTTTGGATCCTGCCCGCTGGCCGGACTCTGCCCAGGCCTCCCTCTGGGAGCCGAGAGGTTGTTTCCTCATCGCTCCAGGTCCTCCCCTGGAGGTGGCTCCTTCCACCCCACTCACTCTGGACCTCTGAGAAGAGGGGTAGCAGAGGCGGCGCCCTCTTCTGGAACGCACAGCCTGGGGGCCTGGGTGTGGCAGGGGGCTCAGCTGGCACTGGAATGGCGATCCGTTCAGCGTGCAGGTGCTGAGAAGCCCTGGAAGGGAGGCGTTCTGTCCTCTAACCGCTTTGCTCTTCCTTTTACTCTGCAGGGAAGCAACCGTGCCAGAAGCCCCCCCTCTCTCTGAAACCGGACGGTCAGTGCCCAGCGACCTGGGGCAGTATGGCCTGGGGCGGTGGGGGAAGGAAGCGTCTCCTATGGGGTTCCCTGTGTGGGTCCTGGCGGGGAACAGGAAAGGCAGCAACCGGGCGCTCTTCCCTCTCGGTAACCTTTGGGAGCCGTGCAGGGGACCTCAGCCTGCCCGCCTGCCTGCCTGCCTGCCTGGGTTTTCTTTGGCAGGTTCCTGCGCCTGGGTGGCTACCGCCAGGGCTTGCCCAGCTAGCAGCCAGCCCTTTGGGGTTGACTCCCCTGGTGCATAAGGGGCCCTTCCTCCTTCCTCCGCTTCGCTCAGAAGGAACCCCTTGCCTGCACCTGTCCTCTGCCTGCCTTTCCCCGGGTGGTGCTGTGCCTCTGCAGGCGCTCAAGGGCTGAGGCAGGCATGGGCCAAGCTGGCTGTCAGCGTCACCGGGCTGGAGGCCCTGCCCAGAAGGAGGGTTCTCATGTTCTTTAGCTACGGGCTGGGTGGCCCTGTGAAGCCATCCATCCATCGGTCAGCCTGAGGTCTGGGAAAGGGGCGGCTCGCTAGGGTCACAGGGCTGGGTGAACAGGTCTCTCGCCCTCAACTTCTTAACAGGGATGGGCGCCCCCTCCATTTTTATGCAGATGCTCTTTGCTCCTCCCTGCTCTGAAGTGGGGACATTTGGCAGCCCGGGGGGGGGGAGCACGCTGAGCCCTCCGGACAACATTCCCTTCAGCGCTCACCACCCCTTCTGTGCAGGGACGGGGCAGGCCAGGAATCCGCTTGGCCGAGGGCTGACCTTGCGGGACCTTCTTGCAGAAAAGGCTGCTGGACGAAATGCAAGAGCAGCTGGTGGTTCCTCTTGTTTTAGGAGGATTGCAAGATGCCTTTTGAGTGCTGCCCTGTAGTGGAAAGCTAGGCAAGAAAAGAAGTGGGACACGGACACAGGAATGAGCATGGAAGGTCCCTGGAGGGCCCAGCCCTGCCCCCCCTGTTCCCACGGAGGCTCCCTGACCTCCCTCCCTCCTTCAGCCACTCCTCCCCCCAGGTCAGCCAGCCAAGAGGAGAGGAACCCATGCGGTCAAGGGGCCTGCAAAGCCCAAGGCTAGCTGGCTCAAGGGGTCAGCCGTGCCAGGGGGATCAGGCCAAGGAGGTCTCCCCCTCATGGTGGGGCCAAAGACAGGTTGGCGAAAAGAGCCACTGGGACCAACCGCAGAGGGACAGGGAGAAGGCCCCCCCAGGGGAGCAGGCGAGGGGGGGGGCTGGCGCTCCAAACGAGGCTTGCCCTTCAAAATGGGGGACTTCGGAACAGGGCGAATACCCTGCCCGTCATCGGCTGCGGGGGGGGGAGGAGGGAAGGGAGGGAGGGAGGAGGGCCTTTCCGGCTCGGTGGGGCTCAGCGGTGGACAGGACCCCTCCCCCAGACTGTGTGTGTGTGTGTCCCCCACATGGTCCAGGGGGTCCCGTCCCTCGCTCCGAGTGGGCTCTGCTGGCTGAGGGGAGTGGCGCTCCATCCACCTCCGAGAATTCCCGGCCCCCGAGCGGGTCGGCCTCCAGACCCGGCTCGCCTTCTGCGCGGGGGAGAGGGGGGGGTCTTCTCGGGGTCCGCACCAACCTTGCCGCTCGCTCCTCCGCTGGCCGGAGGATCCTGCCTCCCGTCGTAGGTAGCGGCGAAGCGGGCTGGCGGGCTGGCCGGGTCTGGGGGCGCCGGAGGGGCGCCTTCCAGGGGGTTCTCCGTCGACGGCGGCGCCCTGCCGGCCACTCACCCGCTCGCCCTCCCGGCCTTCCTCCCTCCGCAGCGGGTCTTTGCTCGAGGGGGCGTCCGCGCCGCTGCGGCTCCAGGACCTGGAGGCCGTGCTGTACGAGGACGGCGAGCACCGGGGGCGGCCGGTGGTCCTGGGCACGGGAGGCTTTGGCACCGTGGAGCTGGTAAGGGCGGCCGGCCGGCGGGGAGAGGGAGCCAGAG